TTATTACCCTTAAATCCACAAGTGTGTGTGTGTGTGTGTGTGTGTGTGTGTGTGTGTGTGTGTGTGTGTGTGTGTGTGTGTGTGTGTGTGTGTGTGTGTGAAAAAACAAGAAGAGAGAGGTGGGGCACGAGTATATACTGTCTGTGTCTGTGTGTGTGTGTGTGTGTGTGTGTGTGTGTGTGTGTGTGTGTGTGTGTGTGTGTGTAAAAAAGAAATGAGAGTTTTGGGAACTGATCAAGGGAAACAGGCAGGTGGAGACGCAGCCAATCACTGGTGCAAAAAACACAGTTGCATAATGGTTTCTCCATGGATACTGAAAGAGTTTGCGCACAAGATGTAGTGCAGAAGCTGCTTTTAACTTGTCTTGAGTAGACGCCCACCAGCTGATGTCTAGAGCTCCATGAAGAGGGCTGCCCAAAACCTTGGAGACACTGTTAAGATCGGAAGTTGTTAGCAGTGCTCGTTGTTTGTATTGCTCGTTTGTGGGTTTAGTGATTTCAGTATTTGATATTTCACCTAAAAATAAGCATTCTGTCATAATTTACTCACCCTTGGTTTTCCAAACTTGTATGACTTTCTTCCTTCAGTCAAAAAGTAGATATTTTGAGAAATGTTTTTTGTCCTTAGAATGCAACTCAATGAGGTCCAATGTTGTTTGAATGGCGACGTTCTTTAAAATATCTTCTTTTGCATTAAACGGAAATAAATAAGTCATGGCCTACAGGTAAATTTCATTTTTGAGAAAACTTTATTAGAATACTTTTAAGTATTGCCTCAAATCATGGCTTTTTGAGGAGAGGCATGCTATTACATTTCAAAGTGCTCTGAACAGTATTATTGACATACTATTGTAGTATTTGTTAATGTTTTGAATTAGCTTTCACTTTTACATTTTATTTTTTTGATTTTTGATTTTAATTTTAGTTTAAGCTGCAGTAATTTTATGTGCTTTTGTCATTTTGTAATATTTTGATAGTTTTAATTTATTTTATTTCAGTTTTAGTTTAGTCATTTTAGTACTTCAATTTTAACTTATTTTATTTTAGTTGCAAAGGCAACATTTCTAAGTTTTTTGTTTTTCCATCTAATAACAATAATGAGTTTTAATATTTTTTAGTTTTAGTTAAAGGGGTCATATGATGCGATTTCAATTTTTCCTTTCTCTTCGGAGTGTTACAAGCTCTTGGTGCATAAAGAAGATCTGTAAAGCTGCAAAGACTAAAGTCTCAAATCCAAAGAGATATTCTTTATAAAAGTTAAGAGTCATCCACGCCTACCTAAAACGGCTCGTTCTAACACGCCCCCACATATCTACCTCACTATGTAGGAAGGTTTGCATAACGCCGCCCAAATGCTCACGCAAAGAAAGAAGGCGTAACGTTTATTCTCGCTGTAGTATTGCATGTCGTGATGGCGCTGTGTGTTTCGTTGTGAAAGCGAAACTACTTTGTTTGGTCTTCCAAAAGAGGACGATATCTGCTTCGTCATGCCTGGAGCTGATCCGTGCTGGTCGCTGAGGAAGTACTTCAACTTCGCGCTCTGGATTGCCGGATCGGCTTTCACCGTGGACGAAGCGGAGTCCAGCCTAGCATTATTTTAGTATCATTGATATACTATTATAGTCTTTGTTCATATTTAGAAATTTTTTTAATTTTTCTATTTCTATTATCTGTTTTCACTCATTTTAGTTAAAGTTTTTGTTGTGTGTTTTTGGTCTTTTTTTATTAGTTTGTGTGTGTGTGTGTGTGTGTGTGTGTGTGTGTGTGTGTGTGTGTGTGTGTGTGTATTCATATCAGCTCTACCAGCCTCTCGCAAAAGTGTATTTGAGTGTGTCCTTTATAAGACAACAAGGTCTCAGATGTTTTTCACAATGAAAGCATGTCAAAGATATAAAAAAGATTCAATCAAACTCTATACCATATACTTATAATCAAAAACAGCTGACTAGATGACAGACACTGAGTAAAATGAAGCCATATGCAGAATGCACTATGCAGCTGTTCTTAGTTATACTGAATCTCACTGATGTTTTTGCTGATAAATCACACTTCTGCTATTCTTTCTGCATTTACAATGGTTCGTTTTCAAATTCAGCCAATGTCATGTTAATAATGTTGCATAGTGTTAGATTTATGCAGTTTATGGTGATATAAGTTTAAATGTTTATTTTTTTGTTTGTTTACAAGTATACAAAAAACAATGTACTGTGTCTACTTGATGTCCAGTGTAAAACCCAACCGAGAACCACTGGTATAGTACAGTGCACGTCCATTCAAAATGTCAGTAAGATCGTTTTTTGTAGGAAAATAATATATTTTTTCAGCAAGGATGCATTACATTGATCAGCAGTCACAGTAAAGACATGGTTTCCACAAAAATATTAAGCAGCACAACCGTTTTCAACATTATCAGAAAAGTTTCTTGATCAGCAAATCATTATATTAGAATGATTTCTGATGAATCATGTGACACTGAAGACTGGAGGAATGATGCTGAAAATTCAGCTTTACATCACAGGAATAAATTACATTTTAAAATATATTTAAATAGAAAAGAGTTATTTTAAATTATAATAATATTTTACTATTTTTACTGTATTTTTGTTCAAAAAATGCAGTCTTGGTGAGCACAAGAGACTTTCAAAAACAGTAAAAAACCTTACCAACCCCAAAACTTTGAAGATAGTATACAGTTTGCCTTTGACATTTGGCACTATTTAGAAACTCTCTCTCTCTCATTTTTCTTTGTATATTTTTTCCCTTCTTCCTCCACCATTTTCCCTTCCTTTTTTGTGGCTCTATATGGCTTGGCAACAGTCCTAGCCATTCTTTTCTAAAGCTATATGACAATTTTACCCTCCCTTTGTGTTGTTGTCCAGGCTTTAGGGTGATGTGCAGAGCATACGTTATCTCAAAATAACAGTAAGACAGTGGATTTTTACCTTTTCTGTAAAAGAATGTGACTGTTGCTTGCCTGTATTGTCAGTGCTAAGGTACCGTGGGTGTTCGCCAAGACATTGCCATGAGGTGTTCAGAGCGGGAGTTTAGCATATTGCTAGGTGGTTGCTATAGGGTGTGTTTCAATTAGCTCCCTTGTTCAGACATTTCTAGAGAACTGCACTGGAAGTCATATTATAAGGTATCATTTACATTTGTCTATAGCACAAACTGGATGAGTTCAAGGGAAGGGGGTTGTTTAGATGTCTAACCCTTGAGCAATATCAATGGTGATTATTGCCTATAAAAGCCAGTGATGCCATAACTCATCTGTTCATCAAAAATGACATATTTAAACATTTTTGTAAAAATCATTTCCTTGTGCACTAAATGGTGCGTGAATATAATGCCCTTACCTCATTTCCATTGCGTGGATTCATGAATGTCGACTGATGAATTTGCACATTGTTTGTCTTCAAGTAAATTAAAACCAGCAGATAAAAAATGTAAAACAACATTAAACAATGACCACAGGGGGTCTTTAAAAGAACCGCTTTAAAATCTAAAGAACATTTTGTGCATTGAAAAGGTTCCATTGAAGTTAGAGTTTCTTTATGGAATCATAGATGTCAATAAAGAAGCATGTTTTGAAGAAATTGTGATATATTGTCACTCTGGAACCCATTATGTGAATGAAAGCACGGCCCAGTGGCATCTGTGCTTTTTTAGCAGTGAGAGCGGCTGTGTTTAGTCTTTTTCAGAAATGCAGGGTACACAGGTACAGACACATACAGTGGGGAAAAAAAGTATTTAGTCAGCCACCAATTGTGCAAGTTCTCCCACTTAAAAAGATGAGAGAGGCCTGTAATTTTCATCATAGGTATACCTCAACTATGAGAGACAAAATGAGAAAAAAAAAAATCCAGAAAATCACATTTTTAGGATTTTTAAAGAATTTATTTGCAAATTATGGTGGAAAATAAGTGGACAGTGCTCGCTTAAAGGCGAAAACTGTCATGACTACAAGCTCACTGCCATCAAACCGCATGCCCTTTGATGGCTGTGTACCTCAGGATTCAGGGCAGTGTTGGATGATGTCAAAGACTCCATTAGTCAAAATACTTGGATGCGTTTCAACAGGGAGGAAGCTGCACATCTCTTTACATTCATCTTATTAGCAAGGAAAAGTCTGCCATCTTCTGGTAGAGACTAAAACACGTTATATATAGATATGCATGTCATTGCATTAATGCAAAACAAAATGCAGTGACATTCAGACATTTTTAAGTGTGCCAAATGTCCAGATACATCTTGGGTTCATATTTCTGACCAGCAACAACAACATTCTTGTCTGAGGTGTCTTTAGCACCTTTCAGATCTCATCAGGTCTCTTTTGTGTGCAAAGCCCTTTTAATTCTTGAATTCCAGGCTCAGGGTCTCACATCTTGTGTATGGACAAATCAATGTCATTTATTTTAATTTATAACAACCCAAACAGATGCAATCAGTCTAGTCTGTTCAGCGATATCAGAGCTGAATGGTGCATTAGCACAACCCTGTGCATGAGCTTTGAATATACCCTAATTTGTTGTAAACTGAGCTGCTTAAGAAAATAACATGATTCACGCTGTGAACTTTTCAATGCATGAAGCAAAGTACTGCAAAACCTTTTATCAAATTAACTTGACACAAACTTTGCTCCATGTCATCTCACGTGGAAAAAACTCTCTCAGAAATAATATATTTAACGGAAAATAATCTTTCAAAAAATACTCTTCCTGTAGTTGTTCTAAACCTGTTAAGGCATAAACACTACAATCAAGTAGAACATCAAGTTTACTGGTATTTTCAAATCACAGTCACTTCTACAGAGTTTATTCAAAATCAGAATTGCCGTTTTTATATATTTTTATTCATTATAATATTTATAAATAGTTTATATATAATTGTTTTTATTTTAATGCAATTATACTACATTTTAAATCAACTTAAATTATATAAATAATATATTATATTTTTTTATTCATATGAATCCAAGGATCCGTGTTTTATGTGAGAGGACAAAAGTTGCTGAACATTTTATTTATGTGTGCCTGCAAACTGTCCAATACATAATGTACATGTTAGTCACTGTAGAAATATTTAATCCCAGGAACCTTTCAAATGATTTTGAATCGGTCTGGTGTCCGAGGTGAGTTCAGTTTCAGATTTGCTATGACAGTCTCTGACAGAAGGGTGAGTTTTAATTGCTCTTGTCCAGATATTCCAGATTAGGGGCATCCAGACGCTGCTCCATGTCCTTGTTCTTGGCGAACTCTTTGAGCATGTCCATCACCTCGCTCTGGTACACATCAGGTGTTGGCTTAGCCTCTGATGGGAGGAAGACATGTTTAGAAATGTGTGCAAATTCATATTAGACCCCATTTACTTATTATATACACATTCCTGGTCTTATTGTGCATGACACAGCAATGCACATCACAGCAAAGAAAACATCAATGGACAAAATCCAAGTCAAACACACGATTTAGATTTCATCTGAATGCCCGAGAAGAGCTGTAAACCATTGTTCATCTCTTCTATCTGTTTAGTTTATCCGTTCATTCATACCTGTTGCCCAGTAGTAGATGTCCCAGTCATTGCTGGGTTCATTGATGAGTCTGTCGTACTGCTTTAGCTGGGGTTCACTCATTGTGTTCAGGTACTGCTTAGCAAAAAGGCTGGTAACAAAAACAGTCAGAGTAATTCTATATTATATAGTAATAAGTATTATGCGGTCTGGCATTTATCTAAGACGTCTTCTTGACCTTCTGACCTCAGAAGGATGCAGTTCTCCAGCATGCCTCTCTTGCGGCTCTCGTATAGTAGTCTCTTTCTCTTGATGTCCAGGGATTCTCCTGTCCTCTCCTGCCACGGAGGCAGTGGGATCTCAATGATGGTCGGTTCTGGGGCATCACCACGGTATCCCAGAGAAATCACTGTGGTGACACCTGGACGCAGTGATGCCCGGCAAACAGAAAGAACAACCTGAGAAAATATAGTTTTGGTTAACTTATAATAACCCTGGTTTGTTTAAAAACAAAAAAACATACAAAACAGTAGGTCTCAGGCGGTGAAGAATCTGTAACATTACATGTTCATTAACAAGTAAACATACCTGCTCAGGACAGTGTCTTCTGAAAAAAAAAATCTATGTAAACTAGTATAAAATAAGAGTGAAACTGGTCTTATGTATGAATTCAGAGTACAGTTAGTGTTGTTAAAGCTGCAGTCCGTAAGTTTTGCCTCTTTGTCGCCATCTCTGTTTGAAAACCTGGAATTGCAGCTGTCTGCGGAATTATCTAGCTTGCGTGGGTTGTGCTCCGGCGCGGATTAATCTAATGTTCTGAAGAGTGTGTGTGTGTGGCAGTCAGTCACCGCACCAGTGTGGATATTTACTGTACTTCGCAATCACAGATTCTAGCCTACGTCTTGGAATATATGACCCAAATAAGAATTTTCACCGTATATTGCCATCTGAACAAGTAACAGGTCTGCCACGTTTGTTCTGACCAACTGAGGAAACAAGCATTACCATAAATCATGCTACCAATGGTGATTAAATCTAAAGATCGGTTAGCCCATTTCACATCAAATTATTATTATTGTTATACTTTATTCTCAAATGATTAATGTTAACAACATCAGCATTGGTGACTATGAGTATAGTGTGTATTAGCGTGTAGATTTCAATTTCTGCAGTCTAATCTCAAATTGTCATACTCTTCGAATTTCATATTCAGAAATTATTTTAACCCAAAAAGCAAATTATGCTCCCTTCGAACTGGTTTTCTTTAAAATACAAATCTGTGTAATCCCAGGCTATCTGTAATCAGAAGCACATTTATAACTGGAATATAATTTAATTTAATTAACATGTGTTTCATAAACACATAATCCTTTCTGGATTACAATCCGCCATCAAAATGATACATTTAATTATTCTGGCTGCTGTGAGAAAAGGCTATAAACGATTGGCCACCTGCAGGATCCTCACATGTGATATAGCTAGTAGCCGGCACAACTTCTTTATGTTTACAGACGTGACGTAATGACGCGGCAGCATGCTCGAATTTCCCGCGAAAACCTACCCATACCACTCAAATTAGAAAACATTATTATAAGCTAACCGTTGTGAATCGGGCTAAAGTAAGGTGATAGTTTTGAACACTGGCTGGTTATGTATTTGCTCAAATATTGATTCCGGATAATTTTTAACCAAAAAAAAGTTTGCAGCTTTAACGCCCTCATCTGACCTTGCTCTGTCAAAATAAGACAACAGGATAAAAATCCAACAAAACAGTTTTTCCAAACCCCTGCGTTTATTTGGATGCTATATATTAGCTGTATATTAGATATGAATTAGTGTGTGTGATGATGGGCTGCAAACAGAGGATCTCACTGCAAACACATGAGGTCAAATGAGATCTTTAAAAACCTGTCGCCACATAAGAATGCAAAGCAAACAAAGGTACCTTTCGTGCCACAGTTGCTGAAAACATGTTATCTTGCAGTATCTTCAGTG